ACTCAAGATAGCTTTGACTACAGCCCCAATATTGGTATTACCTACAGGTTCAGGGTCTTATATTGTGTATTGTGATGCGTCGTGTATTGACCGGTAAAAATTGCCTGAAACATCGCTTCAATCCGAGCTCCATAACTCCAAATATATTAAAATGGTTGAAACATCAAAATATAGCTTCCGTCCATGCTTTGCGATCACGAAGCACAAAATATTCCAGTCCAAAATTTGCCCTTCGCGATCGCAGAAAACCACTCGCGATCGCGAAGAACAAACTCCCCAAGTCTTCCATACAGCCTCTAGTATAATGGTCATAACTTTTTGTACAAAAATTCAAATGACAAATAGTTTAACTTTCTAAAAACTAGACATTAAGGGCTACAACTTTCACTTTTGGATCATCTACAAATTCCTTATAGATTGCGAGATATAAGCTTCTAAAGTCGGGTTAGTACAACAGAGATTTTGTTCTACGAGATCGCGATTCACAAGGCCCCAAACTGCTGATTGCTCTTCGCGAACGCGACCAAATGTTCGCGATCGCGATGCACACCTCTGTAGAGAGAAACCAGCAATTAAAAATGGCCTAGAAATGGTCCGAAATCACCCTGAATCTCACCCGAGCCCCTCGGGACCTCAACCAAATATACCAACAAGTCTTAAAACATCATATGAACTTAGTCGAAGCCTCAAATCACATCAAACAACGCTAAAACCACGAATCATGCCCCAATTCAAGCTTAATAAAACTAAAAAATTCCAACTTCTATATTCGATGCCGAAACCTATCGAATTAAGTCTGATTGACCTCAAATTTTGCACACAAGTCATAAATGACATAACAAACCTATTTTAATTTCCAGAATCGGATTCCAACCCCGATATCAAAAAGTCAACTCCCCGGTCAAACTTTCAAACTTAAATTTTTATTTTAGCCATTTCAAGCCTAATTTAGCTGCGGGCATCCAAATAATTTTTCGGACACGCTCCTAAGTCCAAAATTACCATACGGAGCTATTGGAATCATCAAAACTCTATTCCGGGGTCGTTTACACATAAGTCAATATCTGGTCACTATTTTAACCCAAGCTTTAAAGTGTTGGATTTCATTCTTCCAAACTAACTCCGAAATACCTAAAAACCAAAACCGACAATTCACACAAGTTATAATATATCGTATGAAGGTATTCAAGATTTCAAATAGTAGAAAAGGAGCATAGATGCCCAAAATGACCGGCCGGATCGTTATAAATTTATCCACAACCTCCATTCAACATTTCAAACTAAGTACTTTTGTTTAAGAATTTTTTTTTAAAAAGGCGTGAAAACTCTATTGAAACATTGAAAAAAGTTCCGATGAAAAAGATACCAACATGGTATATATATACTAACATGGTATCATAGAGGACTAATTCATTCCTTTAATAGAAAAAAAAAACTCGTCAGTCCTCTATGATACCCTCACGGTATATATCATTACTGACATGATATAGGTATGGTTCATTCCTTCAAAAAATAGCTCAGTCCTTTATGATACCAAACCGGTATACATATATACTATTTTGGTATATAGTATAGATTCATCTTTTTCGCTAGTTCAACTCAATTTCAACCCAAATTTCACAATTTTAGTGCAAATAATCCACCAAATTGGCTCAACTTTAGACACAACCTCCATTCAACATTTAAAAGTAAATATTTTTGTTTAACAAAAAATTGAAAAAGGCATGAAAACTCAATTAAACTTTTAAAAAGATTCCAATGAAAAATTTCAATAAATTTAAAAAGGACCAAATTATAACGGTATAATATTACACTATACTGTATATTATACGAGTATACTGTTGGAATAAATTGTATAAATTAAAAATTATATACTAAAGTGGTATACATGTATACCATTTTATTATATAGTACAAATCCATCATCTTCGCTAGTTCAATTTAATTTCAACCCAAATTTTACAACTCTACTACAAAATCTCTATCAAATTGGCTCAAACTTTTGCTACATCTTCTAATCAACATTTCAAACAAAACCCAAGCAGAATCAGCTCAAAACAACTATATACTCAACACGCCCACTACATGAATTTTCAGCTTCAAGGTCCTTCAATTGTGCATTTAATTTTTTCTAATAATAAATTTTAAAAAATCTCTAGTATGAACTTTCTAAAGATACTATAAATTACTTTTTTAAAATATCTACTTTTAATCAAACAACAAATCTTAAAGTTGAAATTTCAATTCAAAAGTTTCAAATTCAACAATGATGAGTCTTTAAAAATTCAATCCCAATCACCTCAAATCATCTCCAAATGAAACCAAATTTCAGTATGATTAATATCCTTTCTTTTACTATAGCATAGTATTTTACTTAAAAACTGCATTAGGGCTACAAGTATAAATGCTTAAGCTCAGACCATTCCCTGTGAAAATCCACAAAAAGGATATATTTTTATCATATATGCTAGGACAATAGTGATTTATCCATAATCTCTATAAATAGATTTACTAAATAATGAGTTAAGCACATAAGTGAGAAATGGAGGAAGATGGTCATAAAAATAATGACGTCATGATTTGTGGATGCAACGCCTTGGCAGAAGATAAGTGAAGGGGCGGGTAATTATATTTACTCGTATGGGTAGTCTTTGTAATTAGTTTGAGGGTAGATAATTAGTTTAGGTTTTATGGATATTTTGTGTAGATTCCCCTATTTAAAACACAGTTAACTCCATATACATTTAAAATATTTGCTTTATATTCTATACCTACTTTATAAAATTTTATTTATTTTTTACATCTTTAATACCATTATATGCCATTAAACAAATCTCACCTTTTAAGGGATTAGATTATCTCTCACTCCAACTTGATAAATCCCTTAAAATACTCCATCATCCCAAGGAATTAGGATTATAAATTTTCAATGAAATATCATACCCCAATGATTTATTGTTCCAAATAAACAACCCTATCTATTCTTTCCTATGACCTGTGGGTGCAAAAGGAGTAAGAATATGAAAATGGAGCATTTGTTTTGTACAAGACAATATCTCTTTACCATTTATTTGTTAGATGAAGTGTTTCATCTTTATTGTTTTTCTCTTACATCTATGTAATCAAAAGAAAAGTTAAAATAAGATAAAAATATTTTAATTTGGGATATAATATCTAAACTACAGAAATATTAGAATATACTATTCAAACTAATACACCACAATATTCTAATTAAAATTACAATATTCAAATCAAACACGTTGTAGTATTCAAACCAACACACCACAATATTCTAATTTGGAATACAGTATTCAAACCAAACATACCACAATATTCTAATTTGAAATACAATATTCAAATCAAACACGTTGTAGTATTCAAACCAACACACCACAATATTCTAATTTGGAATACAGTATTCAAACCAAACATACCACAATATTCTAATTTGAAATACAATATTCAAATCAAATATACTTTTATTTATATTTATTGTGTATATATTATTTTACTTGGAATATCAACATTCTTTAATAATATACAATAATTAGTTTATTGTATTTTTTTTATTGTATAGAAGAAGATAAATTTCTATAAAGACAAAGGTTCCCATAGTAAAAAAATTGTTTAATGGATAATCCTTTTTTCTTCTTTAATTTTGGTCCAAGTTTGAAACAGATGGAATACTATTTTGAGTGGATTTGCTTTGTATATCTAGCTTCCTTTAATTTAGTGGACATATTTATTAGGTAGTTATTGTCCTTTAACTAAATAGGTATGTGGGGTAATTAATTGATGTGTACTACGTGTAATTTTATAATTAAAGTATGGTGTGTTAAGAGTTCGTTAAAGGGGGTATACAGTGTAACTTCCCCAAGAATAAAAACATTCATGAAATATAATCGCATTCAGTAACTACGATTTATAAGTCGCATTCAGTAAATGCGATTTATAAGCCGCATTCAATAATTACGCTTTATAAGTAGCATTCAGACTTGCGATGTATAAGTCACATTTAATACTTGCGATTTATAAGTCGCATTCAGTAAATGCGATTTATAAGCCGCATTCAATAATTACGCTTTATAAGTAGCATTCAGACTTGCGATGTATAAGTCACATTTAATACTTGCGATTTATAAGTCGTATTCAGTACTTGTGATTTATAAGTCACATTCAGTAATTGCAATTTATAAGTCTTATTCAGTAATTGCGATTTATAAGTCCTATTCAGTAATTGCAATTTATAACTCTCATTATTGCCCAACATTACGATTTCTTAGTCTTTTAATTGCGATTTACAACTCTCATTATTACGATTTCTAAGTCGCATTGAGTAATTACGGTTAATATGCCGTTGCCTTAATTGATAGTTAACACCGCGATTTATAGTCACATTAATGAATCACTATTTATAAGTGTCAGTGACTAATTACGGTTTATAAGTCGCATTGAACTAAACATGTTTTTTAAGACGTATTCAATGCGATTACAAGTTCCCTCCAACTTATTAAATTTACAAAATTGGTAAATTTTTCCATCGCCTCGGGACAATGCAACTTATAAATCACTTCCTTTTCTAGATGCACATGACGCCAATAACCCGATCTTGCCTTCCAGCCTATTTTATTTTATTTTAAAAAGATCGTGTGCTGCAAAGTTCCTGAAAAATTAAAGCGGTCAACTCATAATTGATAAAATTGTAAGTTCAATAAATTGCATTGAGTAGATGCAATTGATGGTATGTATTACTAACGAGTTTATTCTTTCATCATGGTTGATGCTTAAGTTGTACAAATACATTTTACATATTTTTGGTATCCCCTTACAACAATACTAACATTGAAATTGTTGAGCTAAAATGTGTACATTTTGGAAAAAAGTTTGCTACAAAAGTTATGACATGCTTCTATTATTCACACAATAGAATAATATACAATTTTTTTTTTAATGTAATACTTATGGATAAAACTAAAATCTACAAACGCCCTGATGTACACCCTTATAAGCAAATTTTGAAAGTGTTATGCCTTAATTTTTTCTCTTTCGACATTTCAATTTCCCTTCTTCGTAATATTCCAAAACCAAATTCCGATTGAAAAGTCACCACCCTTCGCGGCTATCCCCACCCCAGCACTGGCCACCGTCGTGTGACGGAGAAATGAGATTTCTACAACTCCGGTGGAAGAATCCGGCGAAGATATCATCAAACACTCCACTTTCATTCGGCCCTTTCAATTCCACAACCCAAACCCGGTGGAAGAAACCAGCAAATACAGCCCAAACCCGACTGGAAAACCGGACCCGAGACCCGAATCTCGACAAACTCACAGCCCAATACCGGAGACTTAAACTCATCCTTAACCTCTACGACGTCGTATCTGCTAAAAAACGCGGTCGTTTTGTCTCAGTTCAGTCACTGTCCAAATGTGCCCCTCATGCCGGCATTAACACCAGCACCGCCGGTGATCTTCTCCGGAAATACCCCCATATTTTTGAGGTATTTACACACCCTATTAAGCGTAATTTATGCTGCAAGTTTAGGGAGAACTTTGTCATTTTGCTTAAGCAAGAAGAAGATTTCATATCACAAAATGAACATGAGAATGTGATGAGAATAAGGAAAATTTTAATGATGTCTGTTAATGGTAGTATACATTTGCATGCACTTAGATTAATGAGGACTGAATTGGGCTTTCCTGAAAACTTCAGGGACTCAATTGCAATAAAGTATGATGAAGTTTTTAGGATGGTGGATTTGGAAATTGTTGAATTAATTGATAGAAATGGCATTGATGAGAGTTCTGGGGTGGCAAAGGTTGAATCTTGGAGGCAAAAGGAGTATACTGAGAAATGGTTGAGTGAATTTGAGGTGAAATATGCATTTCCTATTCATTTCCCGACTGGGTTTAAGATAGAACCAGGTTATAGGGAGAAACTGAAAAATTGGCAAAGGCTTCCTTATGTTAAGCCTTACGAAAGAGAACTTACGTATCACTTGAATGGACAAAAAACTGAACCCTTGGGACAATCTTTAGGATGTGATGAGTTGATATCGAGGTCAAAGGGTGTTGGAAAACGTAAGTCTGGAGGGGTTGAGCGGTATGAGAAGCGAGCTGTGGCGATTATTCATGAACTTCTGAGCTTGACTGTTGAGAAGTTGGTGCCTCTCGAAAGATTGGCACATTATAAAAAGGACCTCGGCATTGAAGTTAATATTCGTGAGCTGTTGTTGAAGCATCCTGGGATATTCTACATATCCACTAAAGGGAATATTGAGATTGTTTTTCTTAGGGAGGCATATAGTAAAGGGTGTTTGATTGAGCCGAACCCAATTTATGATTTGAGAAGAAAGGTGTTGGACCTTCTCTTGTTGGGAAACCGTCATACAAGAGAGTTGAGAACGGAAATGGAACTGAAGGATGAAATTAGGGACATGACAGATGATGAAAATGGATGGGAAAACAGAGAGGGTGACTTTGTCATTCCAATTCTAGAGAGTTTTTCTGATCATGACAACGACGACAATTTGAAATAGAATGGTTGCTTATCTGTGGCAGAGCTGATTGGGCTTTCTGAGATGGAAATCAGTCATGATGATCTAGGTGCGTCTTCTAATCTGGATTTTTCTGCTAACTGACAATTAATGATATGGCAGTTGATGTTAGTTGTAGAAAAATGGATACACGGTCATATTTGTGCTTCCTGCTGTCATTGTTCAGAAAGTTTATTCCGTTGTACAGAGCCTCAGTATGATTTGCCAGGAACCTTTGTTGTTTCTGTTGGTGCGCTTTGCGTTCGAAATTTTATTCTTCCATCTCTAGCATTATGACTTAATTTCCTCACTCTGTTCAAATCTGATAATTGCATGTTGCAGTTCCTTATCTACCAGATTTAGTTATTTGAATTTTCTCCTTCCAATTCAGACTATTCGATTATGAAAAGGGAAAGATAGGATAGTCCTTGTGGTAAGGCACTTAGTTCTGTAGAGCAGTCTTAGGAATATGTTTGTTTTGGTAGCTTGATTATTGATTGCCAACTAAAGAACTGAACCAAAGTCAATTTAATAAACTTCCAGCTGCGCAGTGTTTGCTAGATCGTAACTTACTTTTTTTTATGCTCGTGACTTGTATAATACAGGGTTATTCGAAGACCATATTCAAGTCCAGGTAAGTGTGGAGAAACATTGCCACAGAATAGAAAGGTGTCAGGTTCGATATATTTGGGGTAATGCATTGTTCTTTTCGTTGCTTCTGGTGGAGGACACTGAATTCTTTCATATATAGTCTATTATTGTCAATAGAATCTGTCCTCCTACCAAAGACTATTCTAGTACTCAAATACACCTTTGTGCCTGTTGATTTTTGAACGAGGGAGGAAAGGTTGAAGTTCTGGCCCTGCTAAGGCTCGTTGACATATGGTATTTTCAGTGCAGCAAGAGTGGTTCGTGGTGAGGAATGGACGGGCGATATGTTGGATGACTATGTAATGCTTTAAAATAGCAACTAACTTGGAACACGGAGCTGCATAAATTGAGGATGTTTTTCTTAGAGTAGTTTTACTGAAGCGGAAGGGAGTGATCTGAAAACATATTGTATGATTTTCCAGAAAAGACTCTGTTCTAGCCTTTCAGATGCTTTACGATTTCCTTTCTCCAGATAATCCACAGTAGAACCAAGAAGGATTCATTCCATACTCGCCTGAGTTTTCATCGTATAAGCATTTCTTTGACAGTGATGAAAGAAATGGCCAAATATGCAACAAGAAAGTTGAGCTTTTAAGTGTATCTACATTTGGTTTTGGTTAGGTTTTTAAACAAGTTTTCACTAAGCAATTTTCTGAAAAGAGTTTGGTTGAATTATCTTTCGAGAAAATACTTTTGGAAAGTCATGTTAGTTTTTTGTGAAAACTCTTTGGATTGTTTTGAGTCATTAGAAAGCATTTCGGTTTGATTTTCAAAGAACAAAGTCTATTTAAAAAAAAAGAAAAGAATACAGTTGTTTTCATTTTTTAAAGAACGTTTACGAAAGTAAAATTCTAATCCAAACGGGTTTAAATATTATGCATCTATAATTCCTTTTTAAGAGAAGACTTATAGAATAACACAAGCTTCTTCTAATGTAAGACGTTGTTACGCAATAAAAATAAGCATCGAACAATTTCATCCACTCCATAGAATGGTGATATAAAGCAGACAGAAAGGTTGCCACTAAAACCAATTAGTTCATTTTCTAATGGTCTCCTGTTCTAATACTCTATTCAATAGAGTTATAAGATGACACTGCGAACTATTTCCAAGCCATCCACCTCATTTTTGGTTTCACCTGTAACCTTAAAGCTTCATTCAATTATTATTATTATTATTACAAAGCACACAAAAAAATCAATATTTAGATTAGCTCTAATCATACAACAACAACAGTGGATCTTGGAAGGGTAGTGTGTACACAGACCTAATCATTTAAAAAAAAAATTTCACTGCTTCAATTAAAAAGATCAAGGTCTGAAAGTTAAAGCTTTACACCACGAGTCAATTGAAAAATTGTTCGTAAGACTTTCCTTTCTTTTTTATTTTTATTTTTAAAAAAAAGATATATGTCTCGATTGCATTTTTTTTATCTATAAAATATTCCTTTAATAAAAAAAAAGATTTCTCTAAAACTGAATAACTTTTTTAAGTGTCCAAAAAACGTCCCTTCAGGGACATCCGATAAATTTGGAACGATACATAGAAAATTTTCATGACCCCTGCGCAAGGATAACACGTGCAAATAAAAAAAATGGTCCAAATTTTGAAGAAAGAAAAAGTGTCCAAAAATACATTTTTTTGAGAAAAAAAGATGTGCTTAGGAAGATTGTATTTCTTTTATTTAAGAAATTTCATTACAAAAAAAAAAAAAAAACTCTGGATATTTTTCCTTATATAAGTTCCCAAACAAACACAATTAATATGGATTGGTGGTGAAACTTTGAGGTATACTTGGTGGGGGAAAGTGTCATATTTCAGAAGTTGGAGGGAATATAAATTTTTTTCAAGTTTTTAGGTAAGTATAAGAAGAGGACACAAGTTCCGCAGTGAACTAGGGTTTTGGTTGTGAAGATTGGGCGAAATGGGAGAAGAGAAGAGAGAAGTAATATTCAGAGACATAAGACGATATTATTGTGAATTTTGTGGAATTTGCCGCTCGAAAAAGTCCCTCATCTCCTCTCATATCCTCTCCCATCATCAAGTATGTGTTCCTTCTTTTCTGGATTTTACGTTTTGCTTTCCTCCAATTAAATTTATCACTTGTTCATTAAGCTGCAAATAGATCTGGCTGTTTTTGTGAGCTGTCTTGTATTCTAAAGTTGATATTGAGTAATTATTAGCTTCATTAGCCAGAAATAAAATGTGAAATACTATAAGGATTTGTTTGGTTCACGGACTAGTTATAACAGGTTGTTATGCGTGGAATACTAATACATGAATTTTTGTGTTTGGATTTCAATTCTACTATATTAGTATTATTATCTTTTGAGGTGCTCTTTTTTGTTTATCGGAAAACAAATGCTGTAATAGTAGCGCAGAGTTTTATGTGTATTGAATTCACTTATTCATCAAACAAGATGAGCCCTTAGTGCGTGTTGTGTAATATAAATTGGGACAGTGGAATCATAGGTGAACATGAAATTGAAGATTTTCTTGTGATTGAGCTTAAACATTTAGTTATATGTTTCGAGAGAAGCTGATTTGGTTAGTCGGATGAAGGAAAACTGAAATTGGTTTTGTTTGTTTTTTGAATAGGATGAAATGGAGAGGCGGAAAGATGAGGCAAATGAAGATGCAAAGAGAAAGGAAGGCCCAAAAATGAATATTTGTGAAGAATGTGGTGTGAGCTTTCAGAAGCCTGCTCATTTGAAGCAGCATATGCAGAGTCATTCACTCGAGGTATCTTTTGTGCGTGTTCTTCGTTTGTGATGTTGACTAGCTCTTATTACTTTAGTGAGAGTTCAGTTTTTAGGTTAATAATAAGCCTTCATATTTTCTGATTTATTGTCTTTGTATAAATTTAATAGTTGATGAATTTGCAGATTGAGGTAATGTGAGAAACATTGTGGAATTATGTGAAGGTGTGAAGCATTGGATCCCACATAAAGAACTCCAAAATGCAAGAGGCAGGTATCTTTTCCTTGACTGGATCAGTATCAGGAAGGGGGACCTCCTGAGAAGCTCCATCAAGTGAGCCTCAATCACGCCTTATAATCTTGGTGGTTAGAGACTCATCCCAGTTCCCCCTCCTCCTAAATACAAAAAAACCTTATCTTTTCTCTCCATTAGCATTCATGGACTTTTGTCCAGGACCTCCAGAGATTGAAACATTCTTAAAATGTTTTCTTCTTGATCTTTTGCATGAACAGAGGCCATTTGTATGCCATATAGATGACTGCCAGTCCAGCTACCGTAGAAAGGATCACTTGACGAGACATCTCTTGCAGCACCAAGGGAGGTTGTTTGAGTGTCCCGTTGATGGTTGCAAACGTTCATTTAGTATTCAAGGCAACATGACTCGGCATGTCAAAGAGATGCATGACCAGTGTGCCTCCCCTGAGGCTAATCTTCCAAAGCAGTATGTCTGTTCAGAACCTGGTTGTGGGAAGGTGTTTAAATTTGCATCCAAATTAAATAAGCATGAAGATTCTCATGGCAAGTCAAACTTCAAAATTCTAATTATCTGTAGAGTATTAATATTTTATATGTTTCTGGTTTTGAAAACTTCCAATAATGACACCATAATCTGCCATGTATCCATGCAGTCAAGTTGGCGACGATGGAGGCACTTTGTTTAGAGCCAGGCTGTATGAAACATTTCACAAATGAGAAATGCCTCAAGGAACACATAGAGAGTTGCCACCAGCATATTGTGTGTGAAATATGTGGAACCAAGCAACTGAAGAAAAATATTAAGCGGCATCTCCGCACGCATGAAGAAGAGTCTACATCGGAGAGAATAAAATGTGAATTCCAGGATTGTCAGCACACTTTCTCCACTGTAAGGGAGTGCTGCATTTTCTTATGTAAATAAATCTCCTTGCTGTTAGAAGGAACAGTACTCATGAATTTAGAAAGCAATAGCGCTAACTCATTATGAGCGAGGAAAAATACTTACATATCAAACAACAATTTTTAACCTCAACCAAGCCTGCACTGCATCCAGTTAAGTGCATAAGAGTGAATAGTGTTCTCACTGAAATATTTGTTGCTTGAAAAACAGAAATCAAATCTTATTCAGCATGTCAAAGCTGTGCACCTGGGGGATAAACCATTCTCATGTGGCATTGCTGGTTGTGGTATGAAATTTGCCTTCAAGCATGTGAGAGATAGACATGAAAAATCAGGCTGCCATGTTTATACTCCAGTAAGTAGAATGCATTTGCTGCTTGAAAGCACAACACTGTCACTCAGGTCAGTTTGCTTCTAATATTCATGAGTGACTTGAGGCGTTTTGATTTTGTCTTGTGTAGGGTGATTTTGTAGAGGCTGACGAGCAATTCCGTTCTAGACCAAGAGGTGGTAGGAAGAGGAAGCTTCCTGTTTTCGAGGCCATTATGCGGAAAAGGATAACACCACCCAGTGGTACAGATCCCGTGTTCTATCAAGGATCAGAGTATCTCTCATGGTTACTCTCAGCAGAATCAGATGAAGAGCTGTGAGTCTGTCTTCGGCCAGATGCTGTGTCAAATCATGGGCCAGAAATCTCATTGTTCCTCTCAGTAGAATCAGCGGATCAACTCTGAGAGTCTCCTGGACAGTTTCTCGGCAGATAGCTAGTGTATATGCTGTCGATATGTTCTTACTAGAAAAAAGTATATGCAGTCCATAAGTTATAAATGTAGCACAATGCTTGTTCTATATTAATCCAGTGGATTATCTTTTGTCGACTCTTTCCCAAGACTCCCTATCTCTTTGTTTTATTTGATATTGAGGTGTTTGGTAAGCATGAAGGTTAATAAAACTGTTGATATATAAATAAATCTATTTGTACCAAATATACTTTTGAAAGTGACTAAAATGGGTCGTTAAAATCGAGGGAGCTTTCTATTGTAAAAATATGTTGATTTTTATGAAACGGGAAGCAAAAGGTAATTCATCTCTTATAAAATGAAATAGAGTGTAATTAATTCACTTCTCAAAAAACGCTTATTTGATGTTTTAAACATGTAAAATTTATTTACACGTGAGAGATCTAAAAATATTATTTTCTTAATTTTAAAATTGCATAATGTATGAATAGCACCAATATAGTACTGGTTAGGCCAATTTTGCCGTAACCTATCATGTTTCTTCAGAAATTCCGTTCTCAGAGTCACTGCAACTACTTTACGAAGGAAAAAATATTAATGTCCTTAACAGTATACACAATATGGAGAGCCATCTCACCCGCTTTGGAATTTTCATTTCTGAATAACCTTATTGGAGCAAAAGCGCCCTTTGCTGGAATAAGTAGGAATCCGTTCCGGCACACACAAGTCGCATTCCTAAATTACATTACCTATTTCGATTATAAATCGCATTCTTTTATTGCGATATGTAAATCGTATTCGTATTGCGACTTATAAATCACATTCATAAATTGTGACATACAACACATTCTTGATTTATAAATTGGATTCACAAAAATTATACATAACATTTAATTAATGTGACTTACAAAT